ATGTGATTTCTGAAATGAATTGGTTTAAAAATTTGTATGAATCTAATACTGGACATGTTGTGCTGTTTGATAATTTTGCCTATATAATTGCTGGAATTTGTGACATTAATTTAAAGTTTGACATTGGTTTGGTATACATCTTGAAAGATGTTAGATATATTCCTAAACTGTCTAGGAATTTATTTTCAGTAGAAAGACTTGAAAAGGATGACTTTGCTGGTAAAATTGCAAACTGAACGTTAAAGATGATTAAGGGTGTTGGGAATTAAGAAAAATGACATTTATATCACTATTGGAGAAGTGATCAGAGGTTAAAACTCTTCTATCTCTTCTGCCAAGTTTGATCACACACATACATGGCATGGCATAATAGGCTTGCACACGTAGGTATTAAGGGACTTATGCTTCTTAATGAAAAATACGTATTTGGTAATGACCGTGTGTCTGATTTGTCATTCTGTGATTACTGTATGCTTGGTAACCATTATAAAACATCTTTCTCCACTAGCGTTCATAAAGCTAAAGACACGATTGAATGTGTACATTTTGATCTGTGGTGTCATGCTAATAATCTCATATCGGGTGGGAATAGGTATTTTGTGTCTAATATTGATGACTACACTAGGAAAGTGTGGGTTTATCTTATGAAAGATAAATCTAACACTTTCAACAACTTTAATAATTGGAAAAGATAAGTGGAAAACCAAACTGACAAAATGATTAAATTTTTAAGAACAAATAATGGCCTACACTTTTTAACACCGAATTTGACAATGTGTAAAGAAAATGGAATAATAAGGCATAAAAATATTCCTTACACTCCCCAGCAAAATGGGGTAGCGGAAAAAATAAATAGAACCATACTTGATAAAGTGCATTACGTGATGTTAAGTTCTGGTGTCCCAAAGTCATTATGGAGTGAAACTGTTATGACTGCTTGTTATTTGATTAATTTGACTCCATCCGCTGCTTTAAATGGCAATACTCCTCATGAAAGGTAGTTTGGTAAACTGTGTGATTATTAGAACTTTTGGATGTGCTATTTTTTCTCATAAGAGTGAGAGAAAGCTTGAGCCTAAAGCTAGAAAGTATGTCTTTCTAGGATACTCTGGGGGTGTTAAGGGTTATAGGTTGTGGGATAGAAGCTAAAGGGTGTTATGATCATCATGAGTAGGGATGTTATGTTTAACGAGGGTGAGATACCTTGCCTTTAGGGTGAACTTGAACCTGTGAGTGAAACAGAACTAGGTGAAGAGAGAGATCAATTTAAGATGGAGTTAGAAAAACTATACGCCTTGTCCATAACGCGTCTAGCTCATCACAAGAGTAAACAAAATGTCTCAATACATATAATCATTACCTTGGCTAAAAATATGCATGACTCAGGCATGGGACTGGTCAAAATGTCTCATTATATATATATAAACATTGCCTTGTCCAAAATGCGCGTAACTCAGGCACGAGACTGATCGAAATGTCTCAATACATAAAGTACACCTTGTCCAAAATGCGCGTGACTCAAGCATTCATAGACATTACTATATTTCAAGAACAAAATAGAATATCAGCAGAGATAATATGGTAAAATAGCAATGATTACACAAATCCTACTAATCAAATACAACATAAGACTCTAACAATACCAAATGAGCCACATGCTCCTAAAACAATTTTGGAGCTAAACCTTTAGTTAGTGGGTCAGCTAACATATGATCTGTCGAAATATGCTCAATACAAATATAAGACTCGATTATTTTCTCTCTTACAAACAAATACTTAATATCAATATGCTTAGAGCATGAAGAACTTATAGTATTTCGAGAGAAAGCGACTGTTGCAGTATTGTCACAAAATATCTTTAGCGGCCTGCAAATGGTATTCACTACAACTAACCCTAAGATAAAGTTCCACAACTATATAGCCTGACATGTAGCCTTATAACAAGCCACATACTGTACCTCTATCGTGGAGGAAGCAACAAGTGTCTGTTTTACACTTTTCCGAGAAACAACACCCCTTGCCATCATAAAAACATAACTAGAAGTAGATATTCTATCATCTAAACAACCTGAAAGCATCATCAGAATATCCAACTACATCAAGAATGTCAGATCGTCGATATGTAAGCATTAGATCTTTAGTTCCTTGTAAGTACCTAAGTACTTTCTTTGCAGCTTTCCAGTGAGCCAAACCAGGATCATTCAAGTATCTCCCAAGTACACTGACAATATATGAAATGTTAGGCCGTGTACATATTTGAGCATACATTAAACTACCCACAACTGAAGAATAGGGAATTGTTTTCATTTGAGTCCTCTCATTATCATCCTTAGGGCATTGAGAATTAGAAAATTTATCACCTTTCACAATAGGTGCTTTTCCAAGAGAACAAGAATGCATATTAAACCTACTCAAAACTCGATCCATATAGGTTTTCTAAGATAATCCAAGAACGCCTCTAGATCTATTACAAAAAATCTGAATCCCCATGACATAAGAGGCTTTACCAAGATCCTTCATATCAAAATGAGATGACAGCATATGCTTTGTCTCAAGTAAAAGCTTAATGTCATTTGTAGCGAGTAATATATCATCAACATAAAGAACAAGAAAAATGTACTTACTCCCAGAGGCCCTTAAGTATATGCATTGATCAACAACATTTTCGTTGAAACCGAAAGAAGTGATAATCTCATCAAATTTTAGGTACCACTGTCTCGATGCTTGCTTAAGCCCATAAATAGACTTCTTAAGCTTACACACCATGTGTTCTTTTCCATCTACTTGGAAACCATCTAGTTGCATCATGTACATGTCCTCAAATAAATGTCCATTAAGAAAAGTTGTCTTGACATCCATTTGATGCAATTCAAGATAAAACTGAGCCACTAATACCATAATAATTCAAAAAGAATCCTTAGGAGAAACAGGCGAAAAGGTATCCTTATAATCAATGCCTTCTCTTTGATTAAAGCCCTTAGCAACAAGCCTAACTTTATACCTTTCTACCTGACCTTGAGAATTATACTTGGTCTTAAAAATCCATTTATAGCCAATTGGCCTACAGCCAAAAGGTAGTTCAACTAAGTCCCATACTCCGTTTCGACACATCGATGCCATCTCATCATGCATAGCATCCATCCAAAATGAATATTTAGGACTATCAATGGCCTCCTTAAAAGAGGTCGGATCAAGAGACATACCAGCATCAAACTCATGCTCCTGCAAATAGATAATATAGTCATTAGAAATTGTTGGTCTGCAAATTCTCTGTGATCTTCTCAAAAGAATATCATTAGTCCCCATATCAACATCAACCATAGTGTCAACAACGGGGTCTTGGACAATAGTATTGGTTCCCTCTGTCAATGGTGGCACAACCACCGATGAAGGAGTGACCTGAACAGGTATAATATCATGCTTCTCCCTAAATAGAACTTCACGTGGTACGGAGCTCCCACTATCACTAACATCCTCAAAGAAGATGGCTCAATCAGATTCAATGATTCTAGTAATATTACAAGGGCAATAAAACCTAGATCCTCTTGATCCCACACAATACCCGACAAAATATCCAGTGATGGTCTTAGGATCAAGTTTCTTCTGCTGAGGATTATAAGGCTTTATTTCTGCTTTGCAACCCCAAACACAAAAATGACGCAAAGTAGGTCTTTTACCTGACCATAACTCATAAGGGGTTTTAGGAACAATTTGCTTGGCATTTGATTCAGAATGTAGGCAGTAGTTTTCAAAGCCTCGCCCCATGAAAAATCAAGCAAAGTAGAATGCTTAAGCGTACACTGCACCATGTCCATAAGAGTACGATTTCTTCTTTCTGCAATACCATTCTGTTCAAGAGTTTCGGGCATTATGTACTGACCCTTAATACCACGTGTCTTGAGAAAACTAGCAAAAGGTCTAGGATTTCTACCAATTTCATCATATCTTCCATAAAATTCACCTCCTCTATTTGATCTTACTGCTATGATTTTCTTGTTTTTCTGGAGTTCCACGACAGCTTTGAAAGCCTTAAAGGCTTCCAATGAATCTGATTTTTCTCGAATGAGCTCAATGTAACAATAGCAAGAATAATCATCAATAAAAGTAATGAAATATTTATAATTTCCTAAAGCAGCAGGTGAAATGGGACCACAAACATCAGTATGAATTACATCTAGAATTTTCACACTTCTACTAATCTTTTGTTTTCTAGGTTTCGTTGGAAGCTTCCCTTTGATATAAGCAACACAAGTTTCAAAATCAGAGAAATTCAAGTCAACTAGTATACCATCTTTAATCAACCTTTCCATTCTTTCTTTAGAAATATGACCCAACTTTTTATACCAGAACATGGAAAAGTTTTCATTAGATCTAGTACGTGTAGAACCAACTACAGTATTCACAACAGAAACGCTAGAAGAAGTAGAATCTAAAGCAGGAAACAAGTTAATTCTATTCAAACCATCATATAATGTAGCAGTACCAACCACAATAGAATTATAATAGATTGTAGCATTTCCATTTCCAAAATGAAAAACATATCCACATTTATCCAAAATAGAAACAAAGATGAGATTTCTTCTAATAGAAGGTATAAAAGTAGTATCAGACAAGTTCAAAACGTGCTTAGAAGCCAAAATAGGTCTGAATGTTCCAATATGTTCAACTTTAACCTTCACCCCATGGCCCATGTTTACTACTGACTCTATGTCAATTGGTCTTCTGCGGTTCCTTAATTCCTGCAAAGAATTTGTAGTGTAAATGGTTGCACCAGTATCTAGCCACCAAGTATCAGAAGGCACATTGACTAGATTAGATTCAAAACATACTAGTATCGAATGTGTACCTTTCTTATCTAACCAAGCCTTAAACTTCCTAGAATCAACCTTCTTGTGCCCAAAAATATGACAAAAGCTACACTTACCCTTGAAACCTTCCTTCATAGGCCTATTTGGAACACTCATGATAGCTTGTTGAGGAGGTCTCCCAGATTTCTTCATCTAACTGGATTTGCTACTATTACCTTTGAAAAATTTCTTCGTCCCTTTATCAGTAGTTATCATGAAAGCAACATGAGACTTTTCCTTTTTTATCATCTCTTCTTCTTGAGTTACAATAGCAGTCATTTCACTCAAGTCCCATTCTTCTTTCTGAGCATTATAAGAAGTCTTGAGTGCATCAAACTGTGATGGCAAGGATTCAAGTACTTGCCATACAAGAAAATTATTTGCTAACTCAACTTTCATTCCTTTCAGCTTGTAAAAGAAATGAGTAAGCTTCATAATATGCTCTCTAAATCCACTAACTCCATCATAGGTTGTGGTAATAAGAAGTTTCATCAAAGTTTCCTTTTCTGCCTTGTCAAACTTAGTAAATTTCTTCCCAACAGCCTCAAGATACTCTTTGGCATTACCTGTATCAGATGTGCTCTGCCTGATAGAGTTGTCAATAGTATACTTCATGATCATAAGACAAGTTGACATGATGGGCTCAACAATGGCTAAAATTCTAAATGTCTCTACATTGAATTGTACAATGACCTTCCTGCCTCTTCCCAATTGAATGAAATGTTTCCTGTCTTTTCCACCCATCATGTCAACTTGGAAATATTTTGGAGACCTTTTCTTTTATGGCCGTAATTCTAAAGAACCGAATCATCTAATCCAATATAAAAAGTGCACATACTTTTAGAATCCATGAATTTTAAAATTTTCATTTGTTCATGTGAAACAACCTTGTTTGAAATTTATGGTACAACCTACATGTTTGGCTTTCCTTGGAGTTCATTTACCACTTGACATAAATCCCATCACACACTATGCATCTATGCCAAATTAATTCCCATATGCAAATTTGTAAATCTGTTAACAAGAACACATCATTTGTCACGATAACTTTCCAGAAGAATGAACATTCCTTCTCAAAGGTTTTCCATGTCTCTCATGGCGAAATGGGACACAATATTAGCGACAACGTTAATATCTCCATTTTTTGACTCAAGCAATTAGCTCAAACTTATATGCCTTTTTTGGACTATTTTTCTTCAAGTATCCAAATTGTGCATATCTGTCCAAAATAGGATTAATATTAGTCCAAATCCTTGTACAATCGAAACTGAATCTAATCCACATTGACTTTCAAATGCTGCAAGTCAAAATTGAAACTTTCATCGAAATTCTCAACATCAAGTTTTGATATTATGCATAGATTTTTGTGCTCCACTACTTCAAATGACGTGACATTTTGATATCATTTATTAAGAATAGAGATTAATTCCTCGATTTATCCACATATCCTTGTTCAAAGAATTTATATGGAAGCTGGAAAATATAAAATATATGAAGAATAACATGCCAAATATTTTTAGTGCTTCTATGTGTTGCTTTGATCATCCGAAGTTATTTGGATTTCCATTCTTTACATAAGGAAGTAATCTCCCATATATATGTTATCAACTTCGATGACATTTTGTACTTAGTTATTCTCATTATTATACTTTTTCGTTTTAAAGAGATCAAGACTCGTGAGCTCCCCCATTGTCATGTTTTCATAAAATTTGGGGTCCCACATCTCAATTTACTTCTAGTATTTTACTTTGCTACATTCTTCTCAATAAATCAAGAAAAGAAGTAGACCAGATGCCCAAAAAAAAAAAGGAAAAATTAATTAAAATTAATTAAATAACTTAATCTGCAATAATGGCACCAAAAACTTTATGTGCTAAAAGTATATAATGGCAAGATATTTTAGGCAAGTAATAAAGTATCATTCTCAAGAGAACTAAGTACTTAATCTAATTTTCAATAAATGTCAATTTTAAACCAATAGTAAGATATTTGAAGGAGTTTCATATTAGAGATCTAATATTTATACTAAATTAGCTATTCTAACTAATTAATTTGGAAGTGTTTATGAAGCTCAAGCAACTGAACAAATACTTGAATCATGAAACTCCATATTTTTATCAATTTTAATATGAATTCAAGACAACACAAGTTCAAATATGAAAATTAATATTCCTAATTCATTTAATGATCGCTCTCGAATAGAATTAAACATATCCTCACATGTGATCTTCCTATATTTCTATATAAAAAAAATGTAAGCATGAAAAGAAGTATTAAATAGCAAGATCATCATAAGAATCATACAGTATGGTGGTATATCTTTATCTCCTATTGAATTATATAATAATTGTTACTATGTGTTAAAATTCATATTCATTCTCTCGAATGCCGATATAAGCACAAGACAATTCAATCAGCGATCAATTAATTGAAAATTATTAAATACCTAAAAGTCATTCAAAATCAAACACACACTTTAATGTAAAATTTGGAATTAAAAATTAGACTTCAAAAGTAGGGTCCAACGTTATTCTAACAACTATACGATTAGTATATTATCTAATTAAATACAACAATATAAAATAATTGTTATAACATCACCCGAAATTGAATAATTGAAAAGAAGATGAAAAATATTGAATCTCTTAAGTGACTTCTTGATTTATTCTCCTTTAATTTTTCGTTTTCTTCTACTTGAAAAATAGAAGTATGAAAATAGGATTAAATGTGTTTTTTATGTTACTGGTCGTGTTCATGAGAAGTTATTTTATACCTGACTTGAGAAGATTGTTCTTAGCTCTTAGACACGGGAGTGAATATCAACTCAATGCAAAGTGTGCTTTATACTTGTCTATTGTGTTAATCATGTCGGTTGATAGCCACCAAAAATGCACATAAAGTTACAATAGTGTATGAATGCAACACTATGAATAAAACGATATTATTATAGAGAATGTACGACAAGATCAAACGTGTAGTATTTATATGCATTGCATTTCATGTTTACTACACAAATATTGCCGGTTGTAACACAAAACAATATACCTATATCTCATCATATGGGTCTGTGACATTTTTTGGATCCAACTGTTATACAAAGTATCGAACCCAAATATTCATTTAACTTAAGAAAAATCACAGAAAATTTAAAAACACAAGAGTTCATTTATTGCTTCTCAAGATACATCCAAGGCATCAAGAATGAAGACGTTTCAATTGGGCTTAGAACAAAAACGAATTGTACCCATCCGTGTAAGCAAAACCCTAACCCGAATCCTCAAGCACACCTTTATTGACTAAAGGAAACAAAAGGATGGATGAACTCACACCACCTCCTATCAGTACACAAAGTATCAAGATTACATAAAGAATCAGAAAAAAACCAACTGCCAATCTCTGATTGGAAGATCAACACGAAAGGCAGAGCAAGAGTGACAAAACATCCCCCCAAAAAGAATGAATGAATAGGGCAGCAAAAGCAGTATTTATGCAACGGCTTCCAACCATTGACTAGATTCCAATCTAACGGTCCAAGTGGCTCCTCAAACAAAGAAGAAATCGTGTGAGGCTGCAACAATAAAAGTGCTACACATTAAAACACGGCTTTAGTACAATTGGGCTCGGGTAATTGGGTCAGGTCACGTTATTGGGCAATTGTAGGTTTTAATAGAAAATGGTTTTGGGCCTTATCATCATTGCCCCCAAGAGGTAGTTGGTATCTAGCCCAACACCAACTTTCTTGTCCTTTTTGATAAGTATTTACATTAGGGACGGTAAACAATGTTAATTTACTAGTAAGATAAATTGTGGTAAATATTACCAGATAGGAACGTGTTTGTGCGGCATCTTCCTTATCTTAAACATAGGAATCTTGCCAATGTTAAGAAGCTCGCTAGGATCTAAACATACTCCTTCTTGTCCTACCAGTTCGCATTCATTGCATACAGTTTCATAGCCTTTAATAATGTGGTACCAGCAATCAAATATCTCAAATAATTACAATTCAAAATACTTGCACAATTTCATGTTACAACTAAAATATTTTAACACAACACGACACAGTTTCTATTGTCCACGTAATCTCATCCATTTGACATCGATGTATATTTTTGAGGTAGTTCGTAAGTCCTTGTTTATTAAAACTACTCATATTTTCAAGGCAATCTGTAAAACTTCATCTATTTGACAGCTTATATTTCAAAGTTTGACCCATACATGAACGTACGACTCAGACTCTGGAGACTATTTTTACACCTATAAATTGCATGGCATATGCGTGATGGAGGGACCCCAATTGGCCGATGTGGCATTGATTATTTAATTGATTGGGCCCATTTAATTAAAACAATTGCATATTGGGCTTGAACTTGGACCCATTTCACTAAACTCATTTGGCCCACTTCCACTTCTTTATATATACATGATTTCACTTCACACAAAAGTATGTTCTCTAATCCTAACCAAACCCCCTCACCCGTCTCTTGCATTTTTTATATTTCATTCGGTTGTTGATTTGATCGTCGAAATGCAAACGAATGCAAACTTTTTTCTTGATTGATGGCCTTTGCCTTCTAACGGGGTGATCAGGTGTGCAGGTGATGTTCAAGTGGAGGGGACGAGGTTGAAATTCTAATAACACATTTTTTGGGTCAACAATTTCACCTATAATCCTTTAAATAAATGAAAGTTACTCCTTTTATGCAACTAAAATGATATCAACATGCATAACGCCATAGTGACCGTAGAGGACTGAGTCTCAGTCGATTAATCGATCTTTTCTAGGATTATTCACAACTGCAATGCTACAAAAGTGCATCTCAAAATTAAGGCATAATTGTTAGATTACCCGCAAAGTAATTCATGCACCTTGTAACACAAACAAAACTAGGATAAATTTAATAAATAAATAAATAAAGAATAAAACAGTCTTGTAATGAATTCTTTTGGATGAAAACAGTGCTGGAATTTTTCATAGAGCAATGCTACTCGTACAGAAATTATTGTACAGAACTCTTACAAAATACACACATACAGGGTGAGTGGGTTATTTTTTGCAATATTTTAATTCACCCCATCTCAAACACATCTGTAAGAATTCTGAAATTTCTTTTCTTTACAATAAGCATTAACCATTTTCATATGATAAGTTTGTGTAATTGTGACTTGCTATTTGATTAGTACTATTATATTAAAGAATAAAATCAAGGAGTATAATAACTACAAAATTTAATTCCCTATTGTGCGCTTAAAGATTTTTGCGTAATCTTCAAAAAATATGGAATCACGGTTTTTGTAATATTGCAATTCTTCACAACACTCATTTTTCATTTCAAACCTGTTACAAAATGCTAATGAAAATATCCAAGCTATAAGCAACCAACTCACAAGCAATACAATGAATTTCCAAAATTAATTTTTGTAACTCTGATCTTTAAAAATAACGAAACATTGAATAAGAGTTCCCCTGCAATTTTTGAAATCGAAAAGACAATTAAAAATGAAAAAAATTCAGACTATCACATGATAAAAACCAATTCCATGTCAAAATATTGTACAAAATGTATATTTGTAAACAGTTCTCCTACACGAAGTTCCATTTTCACTGTACAAATAATAGCTGTATAAAACAACGAGTAATCAACTCCTAAATGGTTAAATTTGTTAAAAATGTGCTATGAACCCACGTAGACAAACGCTACTGAACCCAGGAACAAGATGGAAATCTTTCCAAGAAAGCCAAAGCAAGG